AGATTTCCGTATAGTATGTACATCTGCTATTCCTGTTCAAGAATTATTAACAGCTGTAGATCACCATTTCCAGAGCAAGATCTTGATGTTTGAACAAAAAGTATGTTGTATATTCTGCTTCATGTTGCGCGATATCAAAATATTGGGAGCCCAGAAGTAAATAGTGTTTGATCTGAATTTAAAATATTTAGTATTTGTACTAATTTTACTAATATTATAAACTAAATATAAAATAGCAAAGCTATCTGCCGATTTTCCAGTCGTTTATGTATTTTATCTAGAACTTATATAGGTGTGGATAGTACACAATTCAATCGTATTTATGACGTTTAAAATAGATAAATAGGTACATATTTTCTCTACAAGTCTATTTTATTCAGTAAAACAATTTTTATGTTTAATGATACGGTATATTGTGTGAAATTTTTTGTTGTGGGCTAAATTTACTAACTTATTTACAAATCTACAAATTTTCGTATTGCAAATGGTGGTATACCAAGATTTATACAATATTTATTCACTATGAACCATTTATTTTAGGATAAATTAGCAAGATTATCCGCCCAATATCGATTAATACAAAGAAGGCTATTAGCAAAACTCAAAGATAAAATTCCAACATCAATGTCTGGATTAGAAAATTTGTTAAAAGAAAGTTTAATTCAAATTAAAAACGGTGTCGAAGATTTTAATAAAAAGAAACACAGCTTGTTTATGTATGTACGATCTAAAAATACAAATTATTATATATATATCTTAAATATATATATATATATATATATATATATATATATATTTTATTTTCAGTTGTCAGTCTGATCTGAATGCTTTATTGGAATTGATTTCTGTAATGTTGAGGCATATGAATTTGCAGAAAAATATTGCAAATAACATCTGCGCTCTGTTACGTACTCCAGTCCAAGATTTGGAAGATCAGGTTAGTGTTTAATTCTACTTCATAACTTTGAATTAACAATATGTATTTTTTGCTACAATCACCTGCTTTGGAGATGTGGATTTTATAGTGGTATTGGTTCATCTTTGCACAATGCATTGATATTTTTAAATTATAAATCATAGCCGGTATTAAGTATTTTGAGAAATAGGATCATATTTAGTCACAGTTATTTTGATTTGATCAGAAGAAACCAAGAAATGGTATGAAAATTTTAGCATGTCGAACACAGAACACAGAACTTGATCAATCAAGTTCAACCATTATTATCTCAAATAAATGGACTAAGATGATTAATCGTGATATAAAATATGTCCTAACTATTATCTATTCGAACAGAGTGATACTGACGATGAGCACACTTGGGTTTTGCTTTTTGCGACTTTATTATTTATAAAAGATTGCACATTTCAATATAAACTTCATCATCCACATAGATTTTAATATGTAATCCGGATTATTGGAGATCTACTTTTTAGCAGATCTGAATATTATTGTATTTTTGCTTTGTGTTAACAAGATTAAATTTGGTGCAATATTAACATGGTACTGGTATTTTTTCATGTTTTTGGACACCTGGATTATTATCGTAGATCTGTTTCTCAGCAGAGTTTGATTAATATCGTAGTTTTGCTTTATGTGCTGTGTATTAACAAGAATGAAATTTGTGCTTTTGGTGTGTTTTGTGCACTGTGTATATTAATGTAAGTAGATGGATATATTTGAATTATTATATGGAAGTATTTTTTACAAGCACATTCTCGAATTATTTGTTATTTTAATTTTTCGAATTTAGAACACGTTGAAGTGAGTTCAAAAATATTACATATGTGCCAAATTATATTACAGAATTCAAATATAATTGACATAGATGAGGAAAATGGTTGGTTAATTTAGGTAGTAATTTAGCTTTTGTTTATCCAATGGTTATTCAATGATACAAATGGTGATGAATTTTGATAGTTTTTCACCAAGTAAACATTACTAGTTTTCATAAACTAATACATATTTACCAGTTTTAAATACACATTTGCTGTGAAAATTGTAGCATCTTAATTTTCCAAACCGGATTTGGTACCTATATGGATACTATCAATAAAATTTCTGCTTACACATTGGCCAATTTATTTGTAGCTAATTTATTAGCAGCATGCATCTGGATCTTTTTGCGATCCAGTTCCTTTTCCTTTTCATGATCGTACTCAATACAGTTTTTTTTGCTTACTCTTTTTAGCAGTTCTTTATTTGTTATCCTATCTGTCCACTTTATCTTCTCATTCCAGTACCGCATTTCAAACTTTCCAGGTCTCTGATCTGCACAGAGATATGCTCCATATATAACATACCATTAACTTATCTTTTGTATAATAAAAATTATTAAAATCAAGTTGTTCATTACCATTTGAAGGAACAACTACGGCTATCTAGAAATAATTGGACTCATGAATATAAAAGACTTTTGATATATCAAGTAATTTGAGAAAATGCTTAATATGCTAGTTTTCCATATATATTTCGATCACAATTTTATTTTAGGGATGGGAAGATGTAACATACGTATCCACCGTACATCTACTTAGAACTTTACTTAACGAAAAATCTGAAGAATTAAAAACTACTCTAGCCCATGAACAAAACGTTACCAAACTTACGGACTGTGAAAAGTTTAAGAAATTATTAGCTATACTATTAGATAAATGCATCCAAGAAGAATTTGCTGCAAATAATACAGATGGCAAAATAATCACAAATGAGAAGGATGATTTTGAATCAGAAAATCTGGTAGATGTTGGTTTGGCAGAAGTTGCTGAAGAGACCGAGAATGATATGATCGAGTTTAACATTCCAGATAGTTTGAAATTGGCTGAGAGGAAAAGGGAGGTCTTTAGATCGAAGCCTTTGCTGGAAATGAGACATAAATTTGGTGAAATTGATGAAGAATCATAAAAATGATTGATAGATTTGTAAATAGTAAAAATTATTTTTTACAATATTCACTGTGAAAACTTTGTACACAAAATGTAATATTGTGAATGTGATTTTTTACTTTTATTGTGTAAATTTTGGCTCTTTGTTTTGAAGAACTCACTACTATGATTTATTAAAAAATGTATTCAAATTAACTCACAATTTTTCTAACAAAAAAATATGAAAATTGAGATTTTTGTGGTTTTACTAAAAATGAGAATGTTCACAACCTAACAAACACATTAACTTGTTGACATAGATCGTTTACTATTAGAAATTGAAACTTGTGTGATTTTATACTTATGATTTGCTCTACAAAAGTTTTCTCTATTATGAAAGATTGTGCCGAAACAATAAAATTTAAAAATTTGATCGGTTTTACTTTTTTTTAAAAATCGATTGATAAATTTTATGCAGAAGAAATGCAAAATATTTTATCGTAACCAGTTTTATTAAGCTATCTTTGAAATTAACCTTGGGCCATTGAACAACCATTCTTAACTTAGATTTGCGCATTTTTTAGAGATCAAGACACAACGTCTGATCTATATATCACGTTACTATTTTTATAGAGTATCTATTACAATGTTTGAGAATCTGATATCATTAAATAAAACGAATTATTTTTGTTTTATTAATAAATTCATACAATACAACAAATTTTATAAATAGTATTTACATTTATAAATAACATATTTGATATAACACGATCTGAATATGAATTTAACAAATATTGTTTCAAAGTTATTATATTTATTAATTTATTTATATTTATAATAATTAAATTTCTGTGTACAAATATATAAATATTTACAGTGTTACATTTCTGCACTTCTAAATAATTGAACATTTATTCAGCGTCATTTATGCTTATGAAACATATATTCGGCTTTAAAAATGGGAATTGACATGGGTAAATCTTGGAGGATTTTTTCTATTTATTCCTGGTTTTATATGACCAAGATATCTACATGTGTTCTAGATAGGAGGGAAAAGAGCAATATTAAATTCTGAATTAGCTATTGCTTCTTCAATAGTGAAATTATAGTAGTTCATAGAATTGTCCTTAATCATAAAACAAGGCTCAAAATGCTGTCTACAAGGAAATCGATCTTTTCGACATCTAGAACATGTGGAAAATTAGATATCAAGTCCAGATTTTAATCTAAGACATTTTTTCGATATTTTATCTTCAGTTTTAGGATCCACTTGCGTAAATCAATGGTCTCAAAATCTCTGGGTTTGTTGATTATTGATGACAATAATCGAAAAACCTTCTATACTTCGAATATCAAAATCATTTTAATTGTTTATTTAAAATATATTCTGTTCAATATTAAATTGGTTCGTAATCATTTCAACTTCAATTTCATCTATTTGGATTTAATGTTGCAGGTTGTATTTTTATATCAAATTATTTCGTATTTTTGTCTTTCATTTCTAATATATATATTTAAAAAAAAAATAAAAACCTATTGGTTCAGGCTAGGTTTCTCTACTACTAACTCCTCTAATTTTGCAGTTCAGAATGTAAAATTTGGTGAAGTTTGCTCTATTTAAAAGATTTGATATCAGGAAGTCTTCGCCAAGATTGTTGTTTTGTCAATATTTTAACACTTTTATTTGTCGCCTGTTAAGGAAGAATAAGATATCGTTTTCAAGATAATTGGTACGATCAAAAGAAGTCTCGATTATTTTAGAAACAATTATTTCAACTTATCAACTGATTGATGGCAATTTCAATACTTAGCAACTGAGATCCTTGGCACCTATCATTTTTGGACTTTTATACTGGCATACCTACTTATTTCTTTCTTGAGCATTGTTTGCACATGATTGGCCTTGCAAAAGCGTTTGCCCTTTTACCTCCATTGCTTCTATTAGACTTCACGATATCAACAATCCTTTCTTCATAGATTTATTCATGATGTCTATAATTTATTTACTTTCAAAGCTATACATCATTATATCAATCTAGATTCTACATTTAGATATACATCCGTACTCATTCCTGATTGTCAAAAAAATATATTATAATCTCAACTTTCAAAACGATGCTTTTGGCAATTTTGGAAATCTAATTGGTATACTGAAATAAGAGTGCAGATGGTTGCCTAACTGGTATCAACCTTGTATCTCCTTGAACTGTTTTCACTACGTAATAATCTCTTCCATTGATGTTCTGCTGATGATGTTGATGTTGATGTTTAGGTGCTATGTTGCCTAAGTTGTTAGATCCTGCTAATGATTGTTTGAATAGCGATCCGTAGGCTGGTGGCGGTGTTATGTAATGATCGGAGTCTGAGCGTCCTAGAATAAAAAATAGTACTGAATAACTAAAAGATTTTTGCCTCATGATAAAATTTAATGATAAAGACAAAGGAGAAACTAAATTTTTTTTTATTTCTTGTGGAGAGAATTTGGTATGTTTCTAGCTCTTGACTAGTCATTGGTCATAAATAAATTCAGTTTGCTAAATAGGTCTTACCTCCCCAAGGTCTTTTCTTGCTGGGTATGTTGACTGAATTTGGAGCATAATCGTTCACATTAGCATAGACGTTGTTGTATTCAAATTGGGCTCCATGAGTATTATTGTTAAGTAAATTTTGGTGATGATGCAATACATTTTGAATCTTTTGCGACTGGTGTTGGTTCTTGTGGCGCATTCTGTCGCCTGGTGTGTGACCACGCCTCATTTTACTGCCGAATTTGAAATATCTATACGTAATCTGAAAAGTTAATAATAGTAAGTTACATTGTTTTAAATAAATAGCTGCCATTTTATTTAAAATTTGAAATATATTAGTGACAATTGTTTACTTAACAAGAAAAGTAAATTTTTTTTATATATTAATATATAACAAATTTATTATCCTTCTGAGTATATTAAATAAAACTAGTGGTGTATGGCATCGTGCCTTAAGGCAAATTGCTGCAACTTCCCGTACCGTAACGAAATGTTCGAGGAAAATATTAAATGTTTTCAAATAGATTATTATAAATAAATACTGCAACGTTGTCTAATATTTATAAGAATTATATAAACTGAATGGCAAAGTTGAAATTATTTGTTTAAAGTGTATTAGAACTTTAGTCAGAATTAAAATTAAAATCTGAATTATTTCCTTATCTATGATTTTCGATATACAAAAAAAATTGAAACTAATTTTTTTTCCCGAAAGCAATTATTCTGTTGAAACAAGCAGAAAGTTTTTTGAATCATTCAAATCGGACGTTTAGTTCTCTCAAAAATTTTGCACATTTAGCTCTGTGTCGTTGAAATGGCTGGACTTGCCTTTGCCAAAAACTAATCACCTCCCAATCATTAAAAATTGAATATTTTTTAGATTATTCAAATCGGATACTCCGTTCTCTCAAAAACTTGATTGGAATTTTCTGCACTCTTTGCTCCGTATCTCCGTAATAGATAGACCTGCCTTTGCCAAACGCTAATCAGCACATCACTCTATCAATAGGAATCGAATGTTTTTTGAATCATTTAAATCGGTTGGGCCGTGCGCCCGAAAACGTGGACGAAAAAATGCTGACATACAAAACACACACACACACATTCATTTTTTCTGAGGTATGCCAAAATGTTCAGAAATCTTCAAAACGTCGAAAAATACAAAAAAAATTATTTTCGATTTTTGGCCCATTACTGTAACTACCCTAAGGAAAGTTAATAATGAATTATTATGGAAATCTGATCTAACATCTTTACATTAGAAATTATGGCAGAGATGAGATTTTTAGTATCAGTAAAAATAAGGAGATATCAAACAATTTTATAAGTGTATAAGTGTCCACGATTGGAATTGCTAGTACTGAAACAATATTTATAGAATAAAATCCTATCAATAACTAAACTGATGAACTTATGAAGGCAATGAATAATTTATTTACTTTATATACCTATAAAACGATTTAGAGAATGATGAAATTTGTTAGATCAGGACAGAAATAAAAAAGAGAAAACTACTATTGAAAAAACATAATTAATGAAAGGATTGGGGTTAAAGAAGAATGTTATTATTTTTCAAATGGTTTAGTTACCTCTCCAATGAAGAAGATCAGAGCAGTGGCAAAACCAACAACAACCACCATGTACGTCATCATCAGATCTCCATTTCGTAGTTGTCTTTCCGTGCTTCCTAAATCCAGTGGGCATATTGCAGTATTTGGCAGATCTGCTTGTGTTTGATGTTTAACTATTCCAGATTCCACCAGAGCTAATAATCTGTAAATTAAAATCATTATCTGAGGATTATTCGAACTTTTTTTGGAAAGGGTTACACTTATTTAGATAGTAAACTGGACGAATTTTGGGCATAAAATAAAAATTTATATTTATTAGGTCCTAACTGCAAGAACAAACATCTGTTCTACTTACAAAGGGTCGAACAGTTCCCTTAGCCGACTATTCATAGGATACGCAAAAGCTCTTCCCTTGGTCATGAACTTAGTCGGCGTCACCACGAATGTGCATCTCCTGGATTCATCCACGTCACTTCTGGCTCGGTAGTCATTGTACATCAGTAAATCCACAGCTGGACGATCTCGTACCAGTACGTAATTTTCACTTTCTATCATATTTAGAAATGCTGTATCGTTGGAGGGATCATTGAGTTGTGCCCGCTTTCCGATCATAGGAGCAAGGTAGTTCAGTTCTTCGTCAGGCTGAAGGAAAAAATATTGGATTAAAATATAATTAAATTGTGGAAAATATGATTGTTTATGGTGTTGCTTTTTGCGACAAATATAAAATGTTCCCCTGAAAAAAATGTGAAGGATCACAAATAAGATGAGAGCGGATGCAGTTAAGTTAGGAAGTTTTACAATAACATGTTGAAGTTTGAAATCATTATAGATAGTTGTTGTAGTTATAGAATGTTTTTCTAGGAAGAGTATATCTAAAGTAAGACTCATCAGTCCGAATACCGTATTCGTCTTTGCCGAATACCATCTTACTTATTTTGTTCATCAATATATAGCATTTTTATATTGGATTATATCGATAAACACATCAATGACATGAGGTTTGCCTTATTTAATAATATGAGATCTATATTTATTACATTCAACTTACGTTTTTAACGACATATTCCACCGCGCTACCCTGTCTCGCAGTCCATTTGTAATTCTTCACTAATAAATCTTTAGGCTCATTGATGGGCAAAGTAAATTTACTGAGGGTCAAAAATGCAGTCAGATTAGCCGTGTAGAATGATGTTAATATCGTTATGAATATCCACCAAGTAGCGAATAGTAATCTTGTGGAATCTGAAAAGCAAATATATAATAATAATTTTAATTATAAAAAGTAAGTTTTTTATGGTCGTTTTTATCTCTTATTTATTACTGCTTAAATCGAGCTTATCTTGTTTTATCACATGCTAAATTCGGTATAGATTGTAGTTTCCAATTTAAACGCAACATATCCTCAGCATCTTAATCATCACCTAATATTTTCTATTTAATTTCATAGGGATTTTGATCCTACAAGTTGGTTTGAAAAAAAAATTACAATGAAAAATATCATTAAAATTGGTATTTGTGGCATTTCAAGGAAAGTTATTTACTACTTGTAAATTATCTTCTTAATCAATAACAATTGAGAATTCAGATATCAGATAAAATTTTTATTTGTTTAGTTTAACAATAAAGTTTTTGATTGTATTAAAAATTAATCAATGAGTTTTCCAATTAATTTTAGTATCGGGCTTCAAATATCTATAAATGTATTAATAAATCTTTTTAAATCGTTATTTCGAAGACCTATAATATTTAAGGACGTTTGTGTGAATCATGAACGTATCATCATGTTAAGTTTCTTTAATCACACTAAAAAATTTGTTTAGCTTTTAATTACGAAGAAACAGTGCGTTGGTTGATCCTGAATTTATATCTTTCGAACAATTCAGATCTTTTTTACGAAAACGTGGACGAAAATTGTTGCACTTTTCTGCTAATTATAAACAAACGGCTCAGCCTACCGTTTTGCAAAAATGAATGATTTTTAATATCTTAAATCGGTGTAGCCTTGTTTTGGAAAAGGTTGATAAAAAATTAAAAAAATGGCTCACATATACGAGCATACACACACGCACTTACTTATTCCAATTTTGGACGATTCAAAGTGACTTGTGAAACATTAAGAAAATATAAAATTAGTAAGTCGGATTTTTTTCAGTCGATTAAGTGTATATAACCCATTTGAACCCTTTTGAACTATTCAAAGTGACTTGAAACATTAAGAAAACTAGTTGGTTTGGTATTTAGCCTTGAGGCAAGTTACATGAACTTCCCGATATGTTTAAATAATCGACTTAATCAATAAAAAATAAATTAACTTATGTGCGATGAAAAGTATTCCGAGTGGATTTATTACACATAATTGAAAACGAACGAACACTTTGACTCGGAGTATTTTCTAAGAGCAAATTTTCAAAAATCAAGAATTTTTATAATTGAGCCAGTTTTTTGTAAAACTTTAATTGTTTAGTATGTTTATTAAGACTAAGTACTCTATTGTTATACCAAGTAAATAGTCCAATTTTAATTTTAACAAACGTCAAAAAAACAACTCATTTTCTCAAATTTTGATGAATTTTTAAAATTGAACTACTTGTCGTAAGGCCGTAATATTTCAGTAAAGTCTATAAGACCATGATATATGTCGCCAAAAAAAGTTCCATGAAAATCGGCTTAATTTTTTCTTTCAACAGTTAATTACAAGAAAACGGCTCGGTAGATTTTTATCTAAAACTAATCAGTATCATTCCCAACTATAATCTTTCGAACTGTTTTTGATTTTTTAAAATCGAATCGGTAGTTTGAACTTAAATGCGGACGAAAAGTTTAATACTTTTTTTCAAATTAAAAAGAAACGGCTTGGCAGATCGTCGCATAAAACTGACAAACGATAGTCATCATTGAGACACATCAAATGGTTTTTAAATTTCTGAAATCGGTTCAGGCGTTTTTGAGCAATCGTCGGTGAAAAGTCTAATTTTGACAAATGCCAAAAAAACGATACTAATTTTTGCAAACTTTAACGAATTTTTAAAGCTAAACGAATTGTCGTAGGACCGTAATATTTTAGTATGATCAGAAGACTATGGTATCTACCGTCAAAAAAATAATAATAAAAATCGTCGAAAAAATTTTTTTTAACACTTATTACAAGAAAACGGCCCGGCCGATCTCTACCAACAACTCATCAGCACGATTCCCAATCAATATCTTTCGAACGGTTTTTGAATTTTCAAGATCGATTCAGAACTGCGGGCTAAAACGTGGACGAAAAATTTTTCACTTTTCTGCTATTTACAAAGAAACGGCTTGGCTGATCGTCGCGCAAAGTTGATAAACGCTAGTTCTCATCGAGATACATCAAATGGCTTTTAAATTTTTAAAATCGGTCCAGCCATTTTTGAGAAAACGTCGATTTACGGCAAAAAATTTGTTCACATACACACACACACACATACTTTTTCCAAATTTGGTCTCATTCGATTCAGAATGGCTTGAAACGTCGAGAAAACATAAAATTAGTGAATCGGATTTTTTTATGAAAACATAAACTTTTCCTTCGGGAAGTTAAAAATATAAAACTAAATCGGATTTTCTGGCGTAAACATAAACTTCTTCTTTGGGAAGTTAAATATTTATATTTATGTTTAAATTATATCGGTTGGAAAAAGCATTCATTACTATTTCAAATTTGTAAGTAAAATGGTTTCTTTTCATAAACAGTTTTTTAACGAAACTAACCAAATCACTATATTAAAAATTCAAAAAGATTTCCAATCTTATTTGGGCAAAATACAATTTTGCTTTAATTCGTCTAATTAAAAAGCCCTAAACTAGAATAATTAAATCATCTCTCTTCGTTCAACGCAATCGATAACAGACAACAGAAAAGATAATATCTGGCTATTACATACAAAAACTCGTTAAAATCTCCGAAGTATTCTTGTCAAAGTAAAATTTGTCTGAGTAAAAAGCTCAGTTGTCTCTTAAATTAACGATTGCCAAGGTGGTAATAAGGAATGATTCGTTAAATATTTAATAGGCGGAATCGTTAACGTATTATCGCCATTAGGGCGACACACGCGACTAAAGAAAACAAGCACGAAATTAATACGAAATGACGAAAAGCCCCCCCCAACGATCGAAATACACAAGTTGATACGACAAAGACATTTATGGGACCTTGATATTAAATATTGAAGCACCGATAATTACACACACATGACAGATTTGTATTTTATAAACATTTTAGGTATATTATTGGCTTATAGACCTTATACTACTGTCTCAAGTTAGACATGTTATTGGCTCATGGATCTTATACTAACCACTGTATCATAATGTCTATGTTTCGGCTACCCGACGGAGAAGTTTTTTTGCCAGAAAATCCGATTTTCTAATTTTATATTCTTCTGACGTTTTTGTGACCTTACATGTCTTTCCTGGCGTTACAAGTTATTCTGAATAGTTTGAGACCAAAATTTGAAAAAATATACCCCATAATTTACCGTTTGTCGAACTTTTCTCAAAACCGGCTGTACTGATTTCAAAAATTTAATAGAACTCGACCAGGATTCGCTTTGATTACTTTTGCAAGGCGGTAGGCTAAGTCATTTTTTCATAATTAGCAAAAGATTGCAAATTATTTGTCCATGATTTTGCAAAACATCTGATCGTTTTGAAAATTTAAAAACAGTTTGAAAGATATTAACTGCGCTGATCGGCGATCTGCCGGGTCATTTCGTCGCTTTTGTAAACAAATCAATTGGAAATAGCATTGATTTAATTAACTTATTTAACACTTATTAACTTTCCGTAGGGTAAGTAATAGAAATCGCCAAAAATCGAAAATGAAAATTTTTGCATATCGTTACGTTTTTAAGTCTTCCGAGCATTATAGCATACCTTATTGTTAAAAAAATGGCTGTATGTGTGTGTGTATTGATTTGAATGATTCAAAAAACATTCGATTCCTATTGATGGGCAAAAGATATTTTATCTCTAAAACAGCTAAGAGGCTTAAAAGATTGCCTTAAAAAATCCAAATTTTTGAAATTAGAGAAAAAAATAATTTTCTTCTAATTTCTAATTTTTTTTTAAATTCTCAAAACTAATTTTTCCAAAGATTTCAAAAAATAAAAGCATTTGAAAATTTTAAATTACTGTACGGAAAGTTCCAGCAATTTGCCTTTAAACACGATTTCATGCAACACTAGTTTTTTTTAATAATTAATAGTTAGTTATAAAGGAATTGCTGTGTCGATATAGCATCTTATGTAAATGGCGAAATTTTAAAATCTATTCACAATTTTTTGCGAAGACGCTTACCATTTTTATATTTAATTTTTATTCTTCGTGCTTTTTTTCGGTGCTTTATTTCTCAAGAAAATATCGAAGTCGAGATTTGTATTAAGCACAGAATTTATTCTTTGATGAAAAATGCTAGGTTTTACGTAGTAATTTTTAAAGAAGAGTAACACGATTTTGATTTTATCATATTTATATTTTTTTATAATAGGCAAGGTGCTTTTCTAGCAAGAAATTTGTTAATTGATGTGAATTGAAAAAAAAAAACGGTTTTGATTGTTGTTTAACTGACATAATACTTGTTGCTGAAATTCCTAACTATCAATTTTGATGTCGATGATGCTTCACGTTTAAAAAATCGCTAATATATAAGTAATGTTATTATGTGGCCCGTGACATAATTTACATTTTAAAACTTCCCGTAGGGCAAGTTATAGTAATCGCAAAATAATCGAAAACGAAAATTTTTATATATCTTTACGTTTCAAAACCTTCTGAACATTTTGGCATACCTTAGATTCTAAGGCTTACAATTAGAAAAATGGATGTATGTGTGTGTGTGTTCGTGTGTGTATGTGTGTGCGGATACAAATTTTTGTCGACGATTTTGGGAACACGGATAAAGCGATTTGAATAATTCAAAAGGCAGGTCTAGCCGTTCCGAAGATATGGGGCAAAAAGTGCCAAAAACAGTAACTCAGTTTTTAAGAGAACGGAGCGTCCGATTTGAATAATTCAAAAAGCATTTTACTTGTATTAACTAGATGAAGAACAGATCAAATTTTCATGAAGGCAGGTCTAGCGGTTTCGGAGATCTAGTAAAAAAAGTAAAAACAAATGCCATTTGGCGGTCAAAAATGATCATTAGACATATGCACATCAGATATCAGTTATTTTATAGAGATTTTAGCAATAAGTATAGATTTTGTTTACATTCCTAA